TCTTGGAATGGTTATGCTAGTGTAGCAAACGAGAACATATTGGTTTGAAAATGTTCAGCATCACACTTCTATTTAATTGTATGAATATGCTGCTTAGGCAATCTGTGGTCCTTTCCACATCAGCTCCATAAACCTGCCTTGCATGCTTTTCAACACATGCATGCCTTTACCAAGATTGGTTTTTCTCCATTTCTTTTGTTTTTTTAGTTTTATCTTTGCTGTAATTTTGTGATCACAGTAAAAACAAAACAAAAAACAAAATAAAAAAATAAAAACAGTAGGCATGCACAGAGCAAAAACAACCTCAGCCTGCTTGGGAATAGCAAAACGGAGGAGGCAGAGGAGGAGACTCACATCCCTTCATGCCATGTCATTGCTCTCAATTGTTATTGCCACAGAAGGGACCTATTGCACCAAGGGGCTAATGGAATGAGAGTGATATTAGGAACCTGTTGACGGGTATTCCCTATCAATGAAAAGGTGCACTATAGAAAGAAGGGAAATGCAAAGCAGCAACTGAATAGACATGACATTCTGTGATAAGTACTGGTCAAATAAGCTAATATGTTATTGTTGTTGTGTGCCTTCAAGTCATTTCTGAATTATAACAACCCTAAGGCAACACTAAAATGGGGTATTTTTGACAAGATTTGTTCAAAGGAGGTTTGCCACTGCCTTTCCCTGAGGCTGAGAGGCTGTGACTTCTCCAAGGTCACTCAGTGAGTTTCATGGCCGAGTGGGGAATCAAACCCTGGTCTCCAGAGTGGCAGTCCAGCACCTAAGCCACTCTGCCTCACTGGCTCTCAAATAATCTCATATCTTGCTTTGATTCCAATTTACTGCCTTGGTGATAAATCCTTAGAACGTTACCTTACCAATCAGAAAAATGATGTATGAAAAACGATGTACAAATTTGCACTTTTTCTCAGCCAGTGGTATGGTTAGATAATCATATGGTATTAATAGTCTTGCTGGAGGCTGCAATCTTTAATTGGGAATGCAGTATATACTGCTTCCGTTTTATTTCCAATGATAATTTTATTTCACGTACTTTAATATAGCCATCCTTGGTGTATCACACTCTTTTTACTTGTTCAGCCTAGCGGGGACCATGGTGTGCACTTCAAAGGCCTACCCAGAAAAGCACCATTGTGTCCACCTTGCCTATTTCTCACACGTGTTGGTGCAAGGGCCAAAATTTAGACTTGAGGTAATTGAACTGCCAACCTAGCAGTTCAAAAGCATGGAAAAGTGCAAGTAGATAAATAGGTACCACTTTGGTGGGAAGGTAACAGCATTCTCTGCAGTCATGCTGGCCACATGATCACAGAATTGTCTGACAAAGCTGGCTCTTCAGCTTAGTAATGGAGACAAGCACCGGTCCCTACAGTCGGATATGACTTGACAATCACGTCAAAGGGGAATACCTTTAGCTTTTCAAATTGAAAAACAGGATGAGTGAGGGCTTTGGGTGTCTATCCTTCCTCATATGTAAAGTAATGTCTGGATGTGATATTCATTAATCTCCTAAGAAGCACTGAGACAAAATGGTGGGGGAGGAAAATGTGGCTTCGTGTTTCAGAACCCTCATAAAATGAGTACTGCTCCCCTCCTTTGGCAATTTTGCCACATTTAAATTTCATTTCTTGGAGAAAAGGTGCTAAATTATTTACAGAAAGGCTTTCATTGGGAAGAGGAATGAAAATGAGGGCACATCTGGATGCCATCCCACTGCACTCTTCTCACTTTTGAAAAGATGTGTAGGAGTGTCAACCATGTTGCTCTGGCAACATAAATTAGTCCCTCCTTTCCACCTCCCCAGCAACCTGAAATCTTCTATATTGGCCACAAACTAACCTAATTATTCTCCAAATAATGTCCAGAATCACCATTTTGAAATAATAACAGATTGCTGATAGGGGTTCTGCCCTCACAAGAAACATATTCTCCATCCCCTTTTCCTCTTTTTAACTTTTTTTAAAAGCAAAAAACAGGAAGCTCAAGGAACAGTGCTGTGAAACTATAATGAGATTCTTCGCAGATTCTAATAAAGGTATTATGCTAGTCTTCCTGTCATTTGAATTTTTTTCCTCTCTGGGCATACAACCGACAGCATCTTTTCCCCTACTATATAGGGCATTTTACCATTATAGGGAAGGTGGGCCTGGAGTTAATCTTTGCTTTTCCAGCGTTTCCATGGGAACAGTGGCAAACTGGAGGCGCTGGTTACGAATTTCACAGTCACAAAGCCACTTCCATTCACCTAGGCAAATATAGCTTGGATCCTCCAAGGTAGAGAAAGACGGACAGCTTCTGTCCTTAAGCACCATGAAATGAAATCACGCATTCATCCTGAAACAGAGAAATTAGGACAGGCAGGAAAGGTTCATCTGCTAACCTGTCTGCCTCTTATGTTTCCTTAGAATCTGCATGTTAAAAATAATTTAACTGTGATGGATAGGTTTATTTGTTTTTTTAATGAAATGGGCCCTTGGTATCTGCTGGGGTTTGGTTCCAGGGCACACACACACACCATAGATATCAAAATCTGTGGATGCTCAGGTCCCATTAAATACAGTGGCATAGTAAAATGGTTTCCCTTATATAAAATGGAAAAATCAAGGTTTGCTTTTTGGAATTTATATTTTTGGGGAATATTTTCAAGCTGTGGATGGTTGAATCCGTGGATAAAGAATCCATAGATATGGAAGGCTGACTGCACTGTAGTATTTTACATTGAGTTGTTTAAAAAAAGAGAATGGAAATGTCTAAAAATAAGCAAAATCAGAAATTGTCTTTTTGTTGTTTCCATAAGCAGGCAATGTCGAAGAACACAAGAAGAACCCTGCTAGATCAGAGCAAAAGTCTATCTAGCTATGTATTTCTGTTCCCTCAGTGACCCACAAATCACATATGCAAGGCCCACAAATGCAGAGTTTCTCATTGATGTTCCATGAAAAAATATATCAAGGATAGGTTTGCTAGACTTAAAACTGGAATAGATTCCAATACCTTAAACGGTTATGTAGGAGAGGGACTTTCAGCAGGGATTGCTTGTCATATGAAGAGGTAACAAGCATGAACTGCCCAAATGCCCTCTTTTTGGTGTAGTGGCTTGAGCATTGGACTATTACTCTGGAGACCAGGGTTTGATCCGCCTCTTGGCCATGGAAACCCATTGACTGAGTCACACACTCTCAGCCCCAGAAAACCCTGTGATAGGTTTGCCTTAGGGTCACCATAAATTGGAAACAACTTGAAGGCAAACAACAGCTACAACTATTAAAGGTATAGGAAACCTCTCTACTTCTGACTCTGGTAACCCCAATTCTGGCTCCAGTTCCTCAGGTAATATCTAGGCATCATGTCTTTCAGCCTTATCTTCCATGAATGCCTCTTTAAAAGCTATTCAAGTTAGGGGGCAGTACTACATCTTTCTGTAGCAAATTCCCTAGTTAGTCTATGTTCTGTGTGTACGTTTGTATGTCCTCAGTCTCCCATCCTTATGCTTAATTGTATAACTCATGCATACAATTTTTAATGTTTATGTTATGTCTCCTCTTTATGTTGCTCTTTTTCCCTAACCTTAAAGAACCTGAAATACTGGAACCTTCCCTCATAAGGGAATACTTCTGTAGTGCTTTTTATTTTTCCTGTTGGATATCTTGCTTCCTACTGCTGTGTACTCCTGTCTGGCACATGTGCTCTTTAGACATTACAGTAGCAGAGTGGGAAACATTTATCCCATGGCATTTATCCCATGGCATGGCTCTAAATGCTAAAATAGTAGAATGACCCAAAGCCTGGGAGTAATGAGATACAAGCAATGCAGTTACCTGTCACTTTTAAAAAATGAAATATTGAAAACTGGAATTCAGAAATAACACAGCAAGCAGGAATTATGACTTTGCTAAACCTCACTTAGCCTCATTCAATGGCTTGTGTGGAAAGATAAAGAAAATTACTATAACGACCAATGCAGAGAAA